ATCGAGATCGATACAGTGTTGACAGGGCGCTTCTTCTGGTTATTATGTTCGACAAATTGGTATCACGGATCAAACCAAAGTGCACATCTGAAGGTTTGATATGTGAAGCTATTGACCAATCAACTCATCTTGCCTCGGTTCTCTGCTTCTCTTCTCCGAGGATAAAGCAACCTGATTGCATTTCTTCAGCTGCTTGACAGGAGTCAAGGATGAAATGAAGTGGGATTCTCTTGTGGAAGAAAACTGCATTGCGCAGTCATGTTTGTTGGTACAATTTATTTGTGAATGTTGTGGACATCGGCCCGTTCGGCTTACCCAGACACCGGTTTGTTCGGCTTGTTTTTTCAGCCGGGACAACATTTTTTCTCTCACAACAATTCAGCCAGAATAGTGTTTTTCAGCCGGTTTCAATCAAGTTTCAGCAAACCGAACGGGGCGATCATCTTTCTCTAAATAATAAAATAAATCCTAAGTTTCCTGACACGGGGCAGCCTGATTTCTCAAGCAAAGCAAAGCCATAGAGGAACATTTTCACATTCTGCGCCATGATTCTGTAGGGTGTAGATACATGTATGAACACTTCCAGTAATGAGCAGAACTACACTGTACATGGTAATACCAGTTTAGTTTAGGGGGTGTTTGGGACGGCTCCGCTCCACGTTTTCTAGCAAAACGGTTTCAACTCCACGTACTCTGTTTGATGAAAAATGGTGGAGTTGTAAGAGCACCTAAAGAGTTGCTCCATAAACTCTAATTTTTTATGGAGCTGATTCACGATAGAGTTTGTGGAGCAGTCCCAGACACCTCCTTTCTACAGGCAGAATTTAAATATGTTCGATGTACAGACATGTAGTTACAGACTCGTGACAATACTGATATGTTCGTAGAAACAGCTAGCTAGGCTTGTGCAACAACGGCAGCGAGCTGGGGGCTCACCGGCTCAGTGATGTCTGTTACCCATCCAGCGATCCTCTCTCAGCAGCTGCGGACTGCGGTGTGCCCAGCGCCCTACCTGTAAAAGCTGAGCGCCGAATAATTGTGCCGCGCGGAGTGGCCTCGCAACTCTTGAATGCCCGTTGCGCCCGCCTCACGTCCAGATCGGCCGAATTCATTGCGCTCTCTGCAAGCCTGCAAGCAAGCAACGGTCGCCGCCTGCTCCCCTCCCCCGATTTACGCCGCCACGGCGTGCAGAGCTGCAGCAGCCTGCACCGGCAGCAGGCTCCGTCGTGGGAGAAGAAAGGTATCGTATGGTATGGGCCTGATCCGGTAAGTCGCCGCATATGGGCCTCTTGCTCCAGTGCCCATGACAAAGGGGGCCTCTTTCTTCCCTCTACCCTGGCCCAACAACCGACCAACGGCCTCAGCCGCGTGCCAGGCAGGCCCAGACCACAGCCCAATCAGAAGCCCATCAACCCTAGCGGCGTGGGCGGCGCGAGGCGCAGTCACGCGCAATGGCAGGCAGGCAGGCGGGGGGCACAGGGCACCCGCCCGCCTCCCCCTCGTCGGCGAGTCCCGCCCACTTCCGCCGCAAGAAACGGAAGGTGGCCTTGCCCACGCAGCGAGTTTTTCTCCTCCCTTCCTCTAGGCTCTAGCAGCAGCAGTCCCTATCCAAAACCTAGACCGCTCCCGTCACCTCCTCCCCACCCCACCGCCGCATCCTCACGCTCGCCTCATCGTGGTCTCGCCGCTCAGGCCCCCGCGGCCATAGAAGCAATGGGGCGTGAGAGAGGGAGCTACCGCTCGTTTGGTTTGGTTTTCCTTCGGTGCAACAATCGTGACCTCCTCCCGCTTCTGCCTCGCACCGCCGCTCGCAATGGGGATCTAGAGACTGGGTTCTCCCTTTGTAGGCACCTCTCTCTCTCTCTTAAGTGATCCATGCTTCTCCCACTCGTGTTGCGGCTGTCTTCTTTCACTTTTGAAATGTATTTTGCTTGGTGGCGTTGTGTATGCAATCGGTGTAGACTTTCCGATCGAAGTCGATCCAAGTCGGGTTCTTAGAAGGATATATCTTGCTCTGCAAGGTTCTCTTTCCATTAGCGGTCCTGGATGTTGTACAATTCTCGATTTTGGGTCTGAACAGAGTTTTTTCTCTCTCCATATTCAGACTTGTCGATGGAGGGATTTATGTTTGTGCATTCCTGTTTTGTGTTGAGCTTTGTGCTTTTGGTGCTGTTTTTCTGATTGGATTGGCATGTTATGTCCACTGTGGAGTGTTAACTGTTAACACTCAAATATGGTTTGCCGATTTGTGGGAATAAGCTTACTTCGCTGGGATCGGATATTTGACCATCTCTGTTCACTAGATTATGCTGTTTAAGGTGGCTTTTGCTTGAGAATTTCATGTGAGTTGTTTGTACAAAGATGAGTGTACACAAGTATTTCTCGGTGTTTCAATGCTGCATATGCTGTGCTCAGTGTCAGCTTAATTTTTGAAAGAATGATGCTATATTCATTTATTTGTAAGCTTGCTCGGCAGCACTGCTCTCAGCCCTGCGCCTGCGGATTATTACTGTTGCAAATTTTGATTTTGGTCAGCGGTTCTACTTGTTGAGTGGATAGCACATGTTGCAGTACCGTCAGAGTGAACTAAGTCGGGTCAGTTGGAAGGTCGGTACTGTAAGCCTTCCGGAAATAGAATTTCTTGGGCCGCAAGTTGTTGAATAAGAAGTTATTGCATGGCTTGTTACTTAAATTGATATGTCGTGCAGATTTAAAACATGAACCTCTATAGCGGCCCTATATCGAACTTTAATTTCTATATAGCTTGTTACCTTGTTGCACCAGAGAGGCTGAGTCAAGAATATCCTGTACTAGTAGTTACAGAGGAGGATTTCTTGGTTTCCAAGAAACGTACGTGCTTGATTGTCGATCCTATTATACATCATTAGTGGAGGTGTACTTTCCTTCAAATTTGCATGCAGCTTGTTTGTATAGAATGGTATTTTTTTAGGGTATGCATTGTATCTTGCAATGAATGTGGTAACGTACTGTCAGATTTGTTTTCTTCTAATCCGGAATGACATGTACTATGTCGTTTATGTTCTTCCCATTTAAGTCGCGTGTTCCTCGTGATAAGTTTACAATACAGGCTGTAACGCCTTCAGGGCAGACCAGTTCTGTCTTTTTTTAGAGGATGCTTGGTGTTTGGTCATTTGTCTATGTTTAACAGAAAATGATTTCTTGGTCCGTAAGTAGTTATGTGGTTTATGCCATTTTGTAAATAAAAAACTTTAACTACAGTTCAGTATAGCAGAAGAAATAAACCAGGAATATGGGATGTTGATACTTATACTTAAGAAATTGATTTCTCGATTTGTTAGTTATTCTTCATGAGACTCTTGTGCAAGAAATCGCTTACATTGGCATGCCATGTATAAGATTTTTTTTAGAAAGTTTTTGACTGCCATGGCTTAATATAGCATAAATGGATGGAATCAAGGTAAATTTATCTACATCTGCACTAAAAAGCATTTGGCGATCTTTTGTTGTACTCTTGTGCTGCCATATGCCAAAAGATGAGTCATTATTAGGAGAAATAATTAACCAGAATTTTTATTTATGTGTGGGTGGGTGTCGGGGGTGTAGGCAGCATACTTTCTTTACATCTCTATTTTTGAGCTTCGACTGCTGCAAACTAAAGTATGTTAAATTAGAGAAAGTCCCTTTATTAATTCTTAAATTGAATTGAGAGGCTGCCAACCTAGGCTTGAACCTGGGTGCTCGCAGGTCTTGTTGGTACTCCCCTCTGTTGAGACAGCCTGGGGGCGTCTCTTGTGGTCTGAGTTTCTCTTTTCATTTTTCAATTCTTGAACTGTGTTTTCTCTATGAGACATTCATTCAGTACCTTTTACAGGGTTATTCTCTACCACTAAGAGTTTAAACTGAAGGGAGATCTGTAAATCCTGTATCATATTAGGGTTTGTTTTCTTTTCTTTCTCCATTTGTTCTTGTGGGAATCAAGCCTCCAATGACATCATCGCAAGAACCCAACTCCCTGTGCTTGAAGTGCAAACTTGTCGAAGATTACCTATCGGAAGAGTGCAAATCTCGTCGAATCAAAGCTAAGAATGGGCCCTCATCTGATTCATCTGCTAAGCACTGCAACTGTAGCTGCACAAGACCTAACCTTGCCGATGATTGTGACAATTTCCTGAAGAGCGGAGTCCCTAGCCGTATCATGTATTACAGACAAGGTTCTTGGAACAATTTTCCTGAGAAAATAATGAAGTCCCTCATTGAAGAATTCAGTGGCAACAAATCAAGTGTTGTTTCTGTGATGGATGATGAGCCTCTTCTCATTGATTTCTTGTCAATGACCATGGTCAACCTAAAATCTAGAAAGCAACGATCTGTTGCATGGGTTGATGATACTGGAAAGTGTTTTTCTCCTTCTCTGCTCCTTGATGAGGAAATTGATGATATGGCCAAAGGGGAATCTGCTAATGTTCAGCGCACTGTACAGGGAATAATGTTGGATAAGGATACAAATGTTCCACCTGAAGTGGTGAAGCAAGTTGTCCTTGATTCTAGCTCTTCAGTTCCTCATAAACTTTCCAACGCAGACATATTACGCAAGAAGATCACAGCCAGGGAAAGAGGCAGCAGAGACTTTCTATTTGTCTAGGACCTTTTCCTCTCTGGAATGGGTCCATTTGCAACACCAAACAATATACTCCGTGTCTACTGTTACTCTCCGAATGATATAACTGCACAGTGTAGACTTAAAGCTTTTGAAAGACAGATTAGGTCCACCAAAGAAAAACGTGGTGATGCAAATGTAAGATATGGATGGCTAGGATCCAGGAAGAATGACATTGTCAGGATTCTAATTAACGGTTTGGATCCCACTGGAGAACATGTTGAGAAGTCAGATTTGAGTGCTGGTGTTTATGTTTCACCAGTAGACCGAACATTTACCAGGTGCCCTTTCTTAATTCAGTTGTTGTGACTATTCTGTTTTACAAACATGTTTATTATATTAACATCACTTTTTTTACCAGTGTCGGTCTTTGTGATGTTGACGAAAAAGGAGTGCAGTATATGTTACTGTGCCAAGTGATATTGGGTAACCTGGAAGCTGTGGAGCCTAGATCGCATGAGTTTTTTCCAACCAGTGAAATATATGATTCTGGTGTTGACAATTGCTTAAACCCAAAGTGTTATGTGATGTGGCCATCACATCTAAGCACTCACATGCAGTTAGAATATCTTGTTAGTTTCAAGCTTGCCCCAGAAGCTCGAAGTAAGATTATTATTGACTATTAAGACACCTATCATGTCATACAGAGATAGGTGAAGTGAGTTTTCTTTCCGGTTTCACTTATTTTCAGATTACTTGCTTGGCTTGAAAGGCTTATGGTTTCGCCCACCATCAAAGGAAGTTGCAGTGGATATTTCTGCTCTTCAACCTGTGAGGCCACCTGAATCTTGTTAATTTGTTGTTCATCATTGACATGCTGATTTTCCTGCTAGATGCATGTCTTGTAATAGGAGAACAGAAGCTTTGTCTTGTATTAGTTTCAGCTTTGCTGCCCAATGATTCCCTTCCCATTCTCTGCTTTCAGTGTCAAATAGTTTTAGATTTGGTTTATAGTATTCCATTTATCCAACTGAGTGAACTGACTGGTACGTACACAGGTAATGTGTGAAGCAAGTGAAGGACCAAGTACCCCATGGATATCATTCAAAGTCCTGTTCAGATTAATTCAAGATAAAATATCCTTCATAGCAAGGGAACTGCTCTTCCATCATGATGAAGAGCTGAAGGTACTATCTATTCAACAAGTTATATTATGTCTGTTAGTGTTAATTATGATTGTTATTTTGGGCAATGAAATATTTATTTTTCCATTTGACAGGAAGGAAAAATAACTCGTGAAGAAATGGTGAAGAAGATGATGATAGTTGGAGAGAAAATATTTATGGAAGCCCTGAAGAAACTTCATTACTGTGTGAGTCTCTTGCAGCATGCATGTTCCTTGTTTCAGTGACATTTGAATCTTACAGGCTCATGCTAGTAAATTGCAAGCTTATATAGGAATGATGCATTGACATATGATGCTTGCAGATTCACCTTAAGTAGTGTCGTAGTTGTTGCTATATTCACCTCTCAGGCGCTCACAGCTTGGATTCATGCTGATTGCACGTGTAGTATAAAAAATTGATTAAATTCTGGTTTGCAATGATTTGACATAATAAAAAGCGGTCTTTTCCAGCTTTTAAAGACAAACATCTTTTATCTTTCCAGAAGAAAAGGCACAGTTCTTTCAATGAAATTCTATTAGTTCTTGAATTGCATGGATGCAGATATGTTATTTGGCAAATTTAGCTGGCATCGCCTTAGAATGATGACTTAAATCGAACTGAGGCTGTTATGTGCTTACTGTCTAGTACCTACTTTTGACTTTTCTGTTGTTTTTATGTTTGTTATTATTAGTAGAAAATCCAAATTATCAAGCAGCTGCATATTTCTTTGCTAATTCTCAAGCATCTGATTAAATTTTCTAAGCCTGGATGTGTGCTAATGTGCTACCTTTCATTGCTGGCATGTTTATGTTCTTAGCATAACCTTTTTATGGTCTTATATCACAGCCATCATTATGGTACAAATCTTCTGTTAAAGCTATTTCTAGTCATCCTGTAAGGACTGAAGCAGAGCAGGTATCCTTGGATACAACAGGCAGGAGTTGTAACCATGGTGATTCATGTGCACAAAATGCAACCGCTGAACACTCAGCAGGTCCTCTTAGCACCAAAGTATGCGGTGCTCTTCTTACTGACATGGTTCCCAAAGGCTCTGACTATCCAGCACCAACTGGTGTACCAGAAACATCTAGTTCTGCTGGTGCCAAATGCCTGGCTTCTCAAGGCATGGAGGGTGAAGGTAGAGATTCTCCTATGCAGATCATGTCACTGGGAAACTCTGCAGCTCAACCTGCGAGATACCAATATCCTACCGTAACAAGAATGCCACCTATAATTTGTGATGACCCTTTGAGGATTTCTCCTAGAATATCTGCATCTCCTGGTGTGGAAGTTTGCAATTTTGCTCCAACAACCACAGGGCCTCCTAGTTGTGCTTCTCTAGCTCCAACTAATGCTTCAAAGACCCATGAGATTTTGGTTCCAGGTTCAACTCCTAGTCCTAAGGGCCGTGAGTCTGTTGTGCCAATCTTGTTACTTAGAAATTCAAAAAGTGCAGGCGTCAACCGTCTCAATCCTGCACCAAGGGTGACACCTGAAGGCCAGGTGTTTCTTTCGCTGGGTATTGCATCACAGGGCACTGTTCTTCATCCAGTGAAAGGACCTAATGCATCATCATCGGTTGCCAGGCCTCTAGTCTACCCACCAGGCAAGCATTTTTGTACCATGGACTTGGCGCTCAAGCCTATGCATCATGTGTGGTAGCGCAAGGCTGGTTGTTGCCTGGCAAATGTTGATCACCAAGGCTTGCCATTCCTTTGCAGGACGTGGGAAATCACCATCCGTGAGCACAGGGGTCTGTGATTCTGTATCACTGAGCATCACACCACAAGGGCGTGATCCTCCAGCGTCTAGAGCAGAGCCAAAGCAACAAGGATCTCCTGCAGCTGATTCAACGCCAACAAGCCGTCGCCCACCTCAAGACATGGATGCGGTCACCAAGGTTCATAATGCTCCCACACCAAGTACGGTGCTCTCAGCCTCCCACTCTGGAATCTGCTGTAGTGCTGCACATCAAGTACTTAGGGTTTAGTCAATCTCACTTCTCTTGCTCTTGACTCTTGCTTTGCTTGGACGCTGCAGTAACCAGGGACAGGAAAGACCAGGTTGTTGCACAGTATAAGCTGCCTGGGCCAGGCCTTCATGGTTGCAGCCATGTCGAAACTCTCATCGCCCTATCAACTCCGCGAGAGAAGGGCGAGCGTTAGAGTATGCATCCTTAGCTGTGTATATGTACATGGTGGAATGGAGTATAGTTTATCTCCGTAGACGAGAACACCCTGTCGACTCTTCTGAACATAAATCTTTTTTTGGCTAGTAAACTGCTAGCGATAATTTATTTCCTGTATATAGATGACTTGCCTGTGCTAGTTATGGCCCACGGCCGTGGGCGGTGTCTTTTTTTTTTACTGGGTACAACTTGGACGTTCACAACCCACATATTCAACAATACACGCATACGCACGCGTGCGCGTCCGTACACATGTAAAGAAGAGAATGGGAAGCTCTCTAGCCTCTAGTGTGGGGGAAGCTCTCTAGCCTCCAGTGCGGGGGGGAACATGTAGTACCACCGAACGCAACCGCGTGTGTGCCCCCTGAAATTTCTGGAAAAAATCTAGAAAAAGGTGCGAACACCATGGTTTGATCCCTATTTTTTTTTAGCACTGACTTTATTTATTCAGTAGGATAAGAATTACAAACTCTATTTGAAAGCTCCAAAAAATCAAACATGTCTATCTATTGATAAATTTACATAGCTTCTACCTAGTATATGGGCGTCGACATTTGACTTCCGTCCATCAAAGACGAAATCCGCTCTAGTGAATTTTTTCTTCTAACATTTATCTTCCGGATCATTGGTCCATACCTGTCCAACCTTTCGCCCCGCTGGAGCACAGGTCCATTCGCCGTGGGCGGCGTCTTGGCGAGCTGTGTTCTGTGCTGCTGGGTTATGCCACTTTGGGCCCATTTGCTGTTAGGAAAACAGATGGGGCTGGGCTGCGATTTGATTGTTGATTCGCTACTCTCTATATTTATTTTCACTTATTGTTGTCTCAGTTCGATACCACCCTGCTAATGAATGTGTTTAGTCCAAACTCAAGTGGTTTCTGGCTTGGAAACAAAAAGGCAGAAGACCTAGGCTACAAAGGGCATGGATGCCTGGATGGGATGGGGGAGCCCTTATCCTCTCATGCTGCTGGCCACCTGGGACTATGATTAACTCTAACTGACTACACGTCTACACAACAAAGGCACTTGAGAATTGAGATGTCCCTCCAGCATAGCTCACCGATGCTGTCAAAGGCTCAAAGCCATGAGGGAACACTAGGCCCTTTCCATTCCATTATTTTACCAAGATTAACTGTAGCCAAGCATGCGCCATTAGCCTCCATCATCCACCACAACCAATATGAGTGAGGCCCCTGCTTCTCTGCTTCCGTTAACCTCCCCGGCCAGATCGCACTCACCAACCACGCATGCTAGTGGCCGGCGCCGTGTCGTGTCCCGCCGCCTCCTCACCGTTGAAATTGCGCTGCCAAAAAAGGTTTCTTCATTCTTTGCCCCAGAAAAAAAAAACAACAATGGCTCTGTTCGCTTGAGCTTATAAAGCAAAATCAGTCATAGTTTTTTAGTTATGAAATAGTATTTTTCTCTCACAACAAATCAGCTCTATAAATCAGCTGCAGCAGTAATAAGTCCTACCAACCAGAGCCAATAACAACAAGGGAACAAGTTCTGTGGGGTTAGTTAGTTCGACGTCAACAAAAGGGTCGTGGAAGGCGCGCGAAGAACCACTCTTTCCACGGTTCCACCGCCATTTTACGTCGGTTTCTGTGCTCTCGAGCGTCTGCATCTCGTCGCATGCAGGTTATTCTTTCTTCTTGTTTGTTCCTCCCCTAGTCCCCTGTGACTTGCGAGGGACATCGGACATGACGCGCATATATGCAGAATCTGATCGTATCATGAGAAAACGTCGTATTCGGTAAAGAAGACAGTGGAGAAATGTGCAGGAACCGGATCTACTAGATGCTTTGTCCACAGCATCAAAAGTTAAAGCCATATCCTCAGTATTCATTCGAAAATAAAGTCTCCTCGCGATTCTAGATTTAAACTAAGTCAAATTTTCTTAAATTTGACTAATAAGTTTATAAAAAAATAATATAAATATTTATGTTCTCAAATTAGTATATTATAAGATATATTCTACGATTAATCTAGTACTCCCTTTGATCTAATTATACGACGTTTTGGCTTTTTAGATATATTACTTTAACGATGTATATCTGAGTCAGTAAAATCTATGTATCTAGAAAAATTAAAATATGTTATAATTTGGAATGAAGAGTATTTGGTATTATAATAATTAGTGTTTTTTATGAACTTAGTTAGTAAATTTAAAATGGTTCGATTTCTGAAAAATTAAAAAAAATGCACTGCTTGTTTTTTTTGCCTCGCATCTCTAATTACAGCTGTAGTATCTGTTCGGATACAGATACACACCACCACACACACGCACACCTCACACACACGATATACAAATAAACCTACAACTATATTTAGACAACGAGCACGGCTGCGAGATACTCAAAGATCAACAGACTCCGAGCGTGGCGGGCACGTCACTTGACCATTGTGGCACATCTGCGCGGGAGGCAACTGAAATTATTAACGGAGAATAAATCTGATTCCTGGAATCGAATCCAGCACCGGCCGCTCAAACCACAGCGAGCAAGCCAACTGAGCTACGGCTCGGGCTGTAGTAGTCAAGGCAGCGCGCTTTGCACCTTCCAGAACGATCATACCAGACTGCACCGTGGGCAGTCTAGCTAGTGTCTAGTCAAAACATCGAATAACGAATATAGCGTCATCGATCTGGTCATCTGGAAATTCATCGGCCACTGCTACAGCATGTTTGTAGCTGGTGTTAGCTAGAAGAAGGTGCATGAGATGCAACAGATCAAACTTTATTCGTATGGTACTAGACTGCGCTAATGGCCACTGCTACAGCATGTTTGTAGCTGGTGTTAGCTAGAAGAAGGTGCATGAGATGCAACATGTTTGTAGCTGGTGTTAGCTAGAAGAAGGTGCATGAGATGCAACAGATCAAACTTTATTCGTATGGTACTAGACTGCGCTAATGGCCACTGCTACAGCATGTTTGTAGCTGGTGTTAGCTAGAAGAAGGTGCATGAGATGCAACATATCAAGCTTTAATTTGGGCATGTTAATCACTGTAGGTGTGCAGGGATCAAGCACGCACTACTAGCTCAAAACATTCTTTGTAGGGAGTAGAGCAATGAACAAAGCAAAACCACTTGAGCCCAAGTTGTCAAGTTGCAGCTTGCAGGCATAGCTGCATGCTGTGGCTGTGCGGGTGGAATATATGGCACCAGTTATGCTTCAACAGAAGTAGTACAAACATATCCACAAACCCAATTGGATGATGCCAAGATATGTTTTCGTTTTGCCATAAGCTAAAGTTTTCTAACTTTAACCATTTCACAGAAAAAAATACCATCTACAGCATAGAATTAGCTTACTCAAATCTACACCGTGGAATGTGTGTATCCCGATAATGTATTTAGGCCCTGTTTGAATCTCATGGTTAAAGTTTAGTTGGTTAAAGTTAAGGTCTAAACTTTAGACCATTCTACCAGCTCACTTTTACGGTCTAATTAATGAACTAATGCTATTTTTTGTGAGATTAGCTAAACTCTAGGCATACTTTATTAGACACTTGTTTAGAGCCTCAGGAGTTGAAACAGGCGAAAGTTTAGTGGCACCACTATATTTTAAACCATGAGATCCAAACCGTCCCTTACATATTGATATTTTTATAAATCTATCCAAAGTTTTTTTTAAATGATTTTGAATAAAACTAAAACATCCTACACTTTGAAAAGTAACGAGGAGGCCAAATCGAGAAAAAAAGGGAAATAAGGGAAAAAAGGCATCTTGATGTTTCCTTCATTTGTTATATATATAATAGGGTGTTATTATGGGCTTATGGCCGAACAGCGCAGGTCAAATCCGTGGAGCACTACAAGTAGCTAGGGTGAGTCACATTGGCCCAGCGGTTTCTCGTGCTCAAGTGGATTAGCGCTCGCCAAAGCACGCCGACTTTGCAGAAAGGTGAAAGCCTGACCGCTAACTGCCTAGCTAGCTAATCCGAATGCACGCTTAACTACAGAAGTGTAGTAGCTAGGCAAATGGCAATGAGTTTCCTCATCGACCTATGAGCTATGATCTCTATCGCTTGGTATCCATCTCTTTCGTTTCTTTCTCTTTTTATAAAAATCGATACGAACCGACAAGTCGTATATTATATTCCGCACCCAAATAATGGGGCTGTGCAGTATGTGTATTTCTCTTTTTCCCTTTTTCTGTGACTAGCAAATATGCATTTGTGTTGCAACAGAACATATCTATGCTTTATCATGCAGTCACATGAACAACTTACATCTCGAAGATTTATGTAGTGGCCATGTCATCTCCATTACAATATGTATTGGAATCACTTCATTCATTCCATTATTGGACTCACAAGCTTGTGTGGTTCCAACTTATATGAGCATAGAACATGAGTCCGAGTCACATACGAAATAAGGAGGAACACAAGGGTGTTGCAAGAAATAAAAAAGACTGATAAAAGAATCACTACGCTTTTTAATATTAGATATAGATATAGACATAAATTAATAGATAAATAAATATAGATATAGATAACGAAGACACTTTGATTAAAAAAATACTCACAGAGGCAAAATAACAAATACTAAGACATCAAAAGTTTGCAACGAAAACTAAACCTTTGTCGGGAAAAAAACACCATTAATAACACACCAAAGTATCTTCTCCTTTTACCGAAAGCACCACACCAAAGTATTTTCGCTACCACCACACAAACCCTATGTTTGTAGATAGAAAAAGAAAAAAAAAAACCAAAAACAACTGAACAAAGACGGTCAAAGATGAGTTTGATTTGCACTCTGTTCTGTACGTGCAATAGGCACTTAGCTCTGGATCATGATCAATATTACTATAATTAAGCTGGTGGATGCAAATCGGATCACACAGGCACTAATACCTTTTAGTTTTTGCCAATTTCCCTTGAATTTTGCAGCTTTGGTTTGCTGGTGGCGACAGTGACCCGGCCACACCGTTTGTCCGAATGCATGGGCTGGTCGTCAGATTCCAAATCCGGCCG